GCATGATAGATTGTGATAAATAAGCACAATCATGCACATAATTAGCACCCAGAAACTGCAGCAAAAATGACTACTTTGTGCCCATAGGCTGGATGTGTTACTTTTTTGGATGACAATTCCCAGAAATCACTACCTACTATTCCCAGTATCTATGTTGGTCAGTGGATTCTGGCAACTGTCATCCCAATAAATATTTTTCCCTGTTCTGCTTAAACTTCACATATTGCATCAGTTAGTCAATAGGTGGTCATAGCATAGTTGTGGGTAGGAGCTGGTGCTCATCTCTATTTCTAAGCTGAAGAACTGGCATTGTCCATAGACACCTCCAAGGCTGACATGACTGCATGGAGCACCATTACCTTCCCACTGGAGCAGTACCTATTGATCTACTCACATTTCCATGTTTTTGAACTGCTAGGTTGGCAGAAGCTGGGGCTAACATCAGAAGCTCATGACACTCCCTGGATTTGAACCGCTGACCTTTCAGTCAGCAAGTTCAGCAGCTCAGTGGTTTAACCCACTGCAGGCTCCATTTATTTAACCAAAGCTCGGTAGTTTTGGTAAAATATCTTAGTTTATCTGGGATTGGGAGAGCGAGATCTTTTCTTGGGTTGATGCTATAACTGAGTTAGACTGTAAGAGATTAAATTACACATCTGACTGAGTAAAAGGCAATCAAAAACCCCACAGCAACCATCCTACAAAACTCATCTTCATTGTAGGTTTTCAAATTATGCCCAAAGACTTCCCTTTCCACACAGCCTCTTTATTACAGTCTATAATGTTTAGAGGTTTCAATAAAGATCTGCATTGATTTTAAGACAAACCAGAGCATGTCCACAAGAAGAATAACCAAGATGACCAGAGATGTATGAAAAAATGAGTCTTACAAAAACAGTTGAAAGGAGATTGAATATATTTAACCTGGAAAAGGGAAGGTTATGGGAAGATCACAGATGTCTTCATATATCAACAGAGCTGTCACAAAGAAGATATTCTCAGATGCTGCAGAACACAAGACTCGAACTACTAGATGGAAATTGCAAGCAATCAGATTTCAACCAAGCAGTAGAAGATTTTTTTTCATACTGAATACTTTTTCATACTTGATTCAGTGTAGGAACAGAAGAAATATATGGAAAGAAATGTGGGGACAAGCCATGGTAGAGCGAAATCAACTCCAGAGGAAAGATTTTAGTATTACTTCAGATTATCTCAAAAGAAATCTCTTTCGGAATAATAAGAGCTTAGAAAATTTAGTTTTGAGTACAACTCCCAGAATCCCTGGTTAAATCCTAAGAGCTGTAGAGCAAGAAGATGGTGTTTATATGTTCTGTTGGTAGTACATATATTCAGCTATGAAAAACACTATGTAACAAAATTTGAAAAATGTGGATAAAATGTTATCTTCCTGGCTTAAAGTGTTCTTTCCTCTTTAATTGTGTGGTACTTACTTTGAAAGTAGTTGTTATTGTTTGAATTCAACCACACACTGCTCAAGTCTGCAGTCCTCAATGAAAAGCAACTAGATAGTATTAGGCTAGGCTGAGGGAATCCCTCCCACCCCTAACCCCAGCTCCTGAATGTCTGTTGATATATCTGTTTTCTCTTTCTCCTCCCATCCTTATTGATGAAAGGACATGCATCCTAAAAATTGCATTTAATGTTGTGTTAATGCCTCATGGCCACACTTCTTTTTCCACCTTTTCATTCAGACCTCTCTCTGCTTTGTTTGATTGAGAAAATGTAATATTTAGAGGGTTTTTTTCCCTTTTGTGTTGTCGAAGGCTTTCGTTTCCGGAATCGCTGGGTTGCTGTGAGTGTCTCTCCTGATGTTTCACCCACATCTACAAAAGGTAGCCTCGGAGGTTGTGAAATCTGCTGGAAACTAGGCAAGTTATATAAGCCTCACTTGCCTAGTTTCCAACAGACCTAACAACCTTTGAGGATGCCTTCCACAGATGTGGGTGAAACGTCAGTACAAAATGCTTCAGGAACATGGCCATACAGCCCGGAAAACGGACAGCAATCCAGTTTTTTTTCCTTTTGTTTGAACTTAGAAGTATTGGAGTTAGAGAGAAACGTAGACCCACTCTTTTCTATCAAGAAATATAGAATATATATATATATACACACACACACACACACATTAAATAAACCTTTTGAAACTTTAACGAAACTCTGCAACTTTGTCTCCTTAGCTCAGGAATTCTTTTACAGCCACAAAACGACACCTTCTGCTTGTTGGGAGTTAACTGCTCAGATAAGTAACCTGTATTTTTAAATACTCTGCTATTTTGGAGGTTTCCCTAACAGTTGTAGTCCAGAAACTTCATTTCTGTGGCTGCCACAAACTATGTTGAATTGGTTGAGACTCAATGGTCACATCATATGGAGGATCCCCCCACCGGGGGCCCGTGCAATTTCGCCAGCTTCTGTAGCAAAACGGCAGGGATTTGGGGTGATTCTGTCACCTGGTGCGCTGCTTTGTCATGACAACACTTTTCCCATTACTTGGGGGAAGCATCGCCAAAGCGGCATGGATCATGGAGCCAGCACAACACAGGCAGGCTCTCATGTTTGGAGGGAAACTTCCTAGGACACTTACACTCCTGTTGTGGGTAGGTCCTCTGCCAGAAGTCCAGCAACATCTTGTGAAGGGCAGCATGCCCATCCATCGCTGGACTGGTGGGAAGTGTGAGCCCCATGTGATGAAGTGGTTAGAGATTTTCATTGAAAAACTATAGCAAAATGTGCTGTAAAATGTCCCACAAAAACAAAGTTTTGCAGTCTAAATAACCTTTTCCATGTTTTATGATAGGGCCAATTAAGAAATGACATTTATAACCCAGGAAAAAAATCATGTTAAATAGTGTAATCAAGGGTTGATTCACATAGATTTTGTATTATTTTTTGATGGCTTTACCATCAAACAGTGACAAGTACACAAAGCTGAATGTAAACTTTTGGCAATAGGAAAAGGCTAGAATTCAGTGGGGAGAAAAAGAATACATTCTCAGTGGTAGGAAGTATTTATTTCATTTGAGGCAGAGGTGGCAGTGATAAGTAGTAACCTTAATTGCTCCACTACTATATCTGATGATGGGCAGCAATTGGTGCTCCAGCTGGCTGCCTTATTCCCTCCATAATTGGAAGCTCATCTCTTTTTTCTAACATTGCCTCTGGATTGAAGCTGTGAGATGACACATCTTCATTCCAACTGAAGCATTGTGGGTGAATATGGCAAGGTAGCCCACTGGGCCATGGAATACATCTCTGTCACCACTTGCAGCAAGAAAGCAATTAAATTGTTTCAAAGAGGAAAATAACAACAACCAGAGGCTGCTGCCAGCACTGCTCAGCTTTGTAGAATTTGTCCTGTTCCCCAGCTGCCAAGAACTTGCTGAACTACTGTCCCACTTTTGCTGGCTACAAATTAACCCATAAACACGGGAAAGCATTTTCCGTTCAGCACTGCCATTCCATGTGTAAATAAGCTATACACAGCTCCTCACATCTTCACACACAAGGCAATTTAATAGTAATTTCCCACTCAACCGTACATGAACTTGTCACAACTATAGAGTATTCAGGTGGTGACAGGGGTATAACCAATAACGATATGTGACAAATCCACACTTCTTGGGGTTTGTAGATTAAGTGGCAAGAAGCAGGCTTGGTCAGAAGGAAGTTCACACAAACACATTTTGGTTTGGAGAAAAAGACAGCGCAACCTTCCTTGCAGCTGTTATAGTGTTGGTTTGGCATGAAGGTCCAGGGATTAGGAAACTCACTATCTGATATGCTAGTCCACTGGCCTAACTTCCAGGAAACAACTGAAAAGTGACAGAGTGGAATCCATGCGATAGAGTCTTCGGGCACCTGACATAGACCTCGCTCCTGCTTCACTGCATCTGGGAATTTCTTACTGGGATCCTTTCCTCCAAAATGAAGGTCTGACAGACCCTGTTTTCCACAAAAACTGGATCTTGGTCCGCCACATTGCCCAAAGTTATGACAAGACACATGGACCACATGAGCTCAAGAGAAGTATTTTCCTGGAAGGACTGGAAAGAAACTGCAATTGCAGCATCAAATATTGTACAAGGAAGCTTTCTTATACAACCACTCACACATGACTGTGAAAACTGCAAGGGCTGCTGGACAGAAGACGCAAACACAGAGGGAGTAAATTGTGACTGCTCCTTGCTGTGCTTCCAGATAGCCATCTTTGAGTATGTCTATGGGGTCAGATTTTGCCAAATATTTTTTATCAGATCTACCTGATCTGCCTTTCCTGAAAGCAAGTACAGATTCAAAGCACTTTGCTTTTAGATATCTATTTCTGGCTTTGCCAGGCCTAAAATAAAGTGTGGCAAATGCATTTAAGAGGTGCACATTTCTAAAACATGTACAAATACATTTTAGTCAAGCAGTATGTGAACTGAAAAATATGTGCATTGGAACTGCAGTAGCTTTTTTCACCAGAGCCTTTTACTTTTGGAATCATTAAATTGATTGTATTTTTATGTATTGCCAATGACCACAATGTCCTAGTATTTATTGCATATCTAGATATAGTTGTACTTTTCCACTACAATAAAATGAAACTCGTATATAGATACACAATTACCGTATCCAGCAGTGGAACGAACTTAGATCCCCATTAGATTTTCATACTACTTTTGCTTTAATAATGATGATGAACAAACAGAGAGAACATATTTGAAGAAACTTCTGTTGTCCAAATTATGAAAACCACACTGATAAAGATTAGCAGTGGATGTTTTTAAAGCAATGTCTATAACGGTATTAATTAATCATATTTACAGGCAATACATACTTTTTGCAACAAAATGGAAATATATTCCTATTGTTATTCATGAAGATGGATAATACACTATTTATCTTGTTTTAATTTTGTTGATCTTGAGCGCCAACTTCTTTCAAAAGTAGATGCTGTGATTGATGTGCCTTATAGTACTTAACAGATTTTACAGATATCTGAAGCCCATTCTCACCCATACTGGTCCTCCACTTACTGCAACCTTACCAAGCTGGTGTAATCCTGTGGCCAGATTACTAACTAGTCCTAGAGCATATGGGGTAAGTACACAAATGTCTAAGACTGGAAATAGGTCCCAAACCATAAGACTATATATATTTAACCACTAATTGGGCTCCTAATATGCTTATCCTCCCCCCTTCCCAGGGACTCCACTATTAATCTGTGCTTTAGCAAGAAAACAAAAAGTTAATGTGTGCCTTGAGACTAACGGATTTATTCTCACATGAGCTTTTCTTGATTACAACCTATTTTATCAAATATACTTCATTTCACAGGTTCAGGTATTTCACAATGTACATAGCAGAGATGGGGTCCTATCAGAGTGAACTGGATGTAAAAGTGCAATGGTATTATTATTAGTAGTCATTCATAAAATTGTTGGTCATAACACAAACATCCTAGCAGTAAGTGAGGCAGAGTTAACACGTATGATCAAATGTAACATAAGCTAAATTGTACTGTAATAGTACACAATTCCAGTTATTCCATCGCCAAAAGAGAATAGAGGGGAGTGGGCAGGCATCTGGCCCTAGACAGAAAACTGGGGGCATTGTCTACTGAAAACCATTGGGGTCCTCCAGAGGTCTCAGCAGATGATGTCATCAGTTTGTGCCAAACACATCCCCAGTCCCCTCGACTTTCTACCAACAACAGTAGTAACATGGAAGGAGCTATTAAGTGTAAGGGAAGATTTAGATGTTGCAGAGGGAGGAAAACATTACCAATCTCCAGAATAACAAAAAAAATACAAATACAAGCAAACTACTTGTTTATGTCACTAATTTTAGCCTTAAACTAGAATCCTGTTGGTTAATCCCAACTAAAACAAGTTAATTGACTCAGCTGGTGAATCAACTTCATTAACATCTGTTTTCTGATACAAACATTTGCCCAACTATTATGCCTTGGATCCATAACTCCATATATGGTGGCTTCCATGTCAGTGAGACAATGAATCTCCCCCAGGTGTTATTATTAATTTGAAATAAGTCATCCAAGAAGCTCAATCTATTTTGGAGATAGCACCTTAGTCAGTTCTTTTAAAGTGTGCCGATTTAGTAGCCCTCTTACAAAGAAGCCACTAACTGCCATGGGTTCCATTGTGCCAATACACATAATATGTGCTCCCCTAAATAGAAAAAAAGTGACTTAAAATGAATATCTCTCAGGCCATGGTTGGCAAAGTCATTTCTGCATGGCCAAGAAGTTTCTGGATTTGGGTACCTCTTATTTTTCTTAAAGGTAATGCAGTTTTGTTTGGAGCTATTTATGGCTCACTCATAATTGCAATTTTAACCATATTAAAATGTTACTCATGAATACATAGTTCAATACATAAAGACTGCTTTTGTTCTACAATAATGTGAACTGACAAGAGCTGATATAAAGGAATTCAATAAAGCGTCCAAATGAAATCAAGTCCAACTTGGTTCTAATGAAACTACACCGTGATGCTTTTTTGGCATTGATAAGTAACTTTCTTTATTTCTTTTTTCTTTTATAAAATAATACCTAGGAGCAACTGAAAGATGATGATACTGACTGCATTGTCAACAATGATGAACTGACTCTGAGTTATGTAGCCTCTGATCTTTCACCCATGCCTCCGCAAAGCAAACCAGATTCTCCCCATCATGGAGGCAAAGAAAACGTTTATGAAGGAGACCTTGGCTTAGGAGGATATGAACTGCAATCTGAACCTGCTCCAAACCAATCCCAGTTGGTTTCCTCACCCTGAAGTCCAGAAAAAAATGTATATCACAAGCACAGAGAAGAGACATGTTTATTATGCAGAGTTAGCAAGAAGCTTGAGAAAATGTATTAAGGGCATCAAACGAAAAGAAGCAAAATCTTGCTGAATCTATCCCTGGAGCCCGAAGGAATGAGAACGTATTACCATTCCATATATATACTACAACTACATTTAATTTTTCTGACAGTGGCAGTTTTTAATAATGGAATCGAAGGCATCATATCTCTGCTTCTGGGACATTACATATGCACTCCTGGTCTCTGATCACTCTTCATCATCCACATTCCTATCTCACATGCACACAAAGGCCTTTGTATATTATTCTTCTAATTAATTCCAAGAGAGAGGGAAGGATGGGAATTGAGCGAACTTGTACATGCTCCAAAAATCACAGACACTGTGATACTGTTCTTCTTTTGCTGTCACACCCTCTTATGGGGCAAAGTTGACAGGGCTTTTGGATGCATTTCTTTTCTCATTGGTGTTGCTAAAGCTTTCCAAGCCTTTGTCAGTGGCAGCTTGCCAGCAAAGAGTTAATAATGCAGCACATAAAAATAGGCATTAATATATTAGCTACAGATCAATAATAGAGATTTTGAGATGATCATGATTAAACATGATCACCAGTATAGACAGCAAATTATGCTTCTTCCCCCAGTCCATGTTTTTGTGTGTCTTGTGCAGTCCATTCATAATACAAACTCCATGCATTAGCTAGAAGCAATCGTTTATCAGATTCCCCTATGCTTCATGTTTATATATGAAATCCAGGGTGAGAAAAGGCTAGGACTTCAAATGATGTGTGCAAAAACATTTTTGTAAACAATAAGAGTTTGAAATCATCCCATAACACAGTCAGACTTCTGACCACTGTGCAGGTAGCATGGGAAAAGGTCACCTGAATCATCATCCATCATGAATAGCATCCTTGCTCTGCATATAGTGATGTTTATGATGGTGCTACAAAGAACTTTAGATTATCTACTTGCTTATTTCACAATACAATATGAAGGCAGGAGAGGTATAGGAAAGTACTGTCATGGACTTGTTAAAAATGCTGTGGATAAAACTACTGAATGTCTTCCTGGTATAAACAACATGTTTGAGTAGTTTTACAGTGTCCATATTCACCCACGAGCTATTGCAATGTTACAATTTACAGACAGCCATATCCATTGCACAATAGAGTAACTGATATGCTATGGGCACCGATAGATAACATGTGCATCCAGACACTGGCTAGGAAGTGCCAAAGCAACAACAAGAACCATCACAAGTACTACAACACAAAAGGAACACCCAATATTTATTGCAGCACTATAACCAGTGCCTGGATGAACATCTTCACAATTCATTAACAGAGCTTTATTGCAGTTCTACAAATTAACTACAGATTCAAAACAAAGTCTATGATATAAAAGCATGGCCAGATTTCTTATCCACCCATATCTCATTCTTCAGATTTATGTACATTTTGGCGTTAACTATTTTTCAGTGTAAATGGGTTGCATAGCTTAGTTCTTGATGTTGTATCATGTTCTTCCAATTGTCATTAACTTACAGTAGAAATCTTATGTAAAACAATTATGACAGCTACACCTGAGGAGTTGTGATGTCCTTTTATTCAGTGTTAGCACATGATTGTTCAGTACTTGTCTACCTACTTCTGCAAGAAGACATATACAAGCTGAATATTTCAAACAAGTATCCAAGTTGGTGCCTTACCTCCATGATAAACTTCTTATTCTCTGTTATACATCTGGAAACACAAATATTGACAATAATTCAACCTTTATTCGATTTGGTCGATATTTTACTGGTTGTTATGTCTTTTCATATTTCTAAACCACCAAGAGGGCATTTGCTATTTGGTTGAAAATTTTAATTAAGTAAGAACATACAGTCCCATGGGAAAGAAGGCTCATAAAAGATTTCTCATGTCATCATTTTCCTGTGTATGAGCTATGCTCCTTTGTTCAGGGTGGAATTCTGTATGTTACAGATAATTGCAGATTAAATCACAGCATTCACAAAATATCCCATGCAGATCTTTAATAACAAAGATCACAATCTGGGGACACAACTTAGTGCTGGAACAGTTCAAGCAAAATCAATGCACTCAAAGATAACTTTATGATGAATTGCTTCTTTCCCTCAGTTCAGGTATGCAGCCTCAACTTGTTTGATGCATAATTATGAAGAAGTCGTAAGGGGAACATTTATTATTAGAAAGTTTATGAAACTCATAATGTTAGACATATGAAATCTCTAAGAATAAATGTCAAGCCATCTTGATGAAACTGTGAATGATTGAAATTGCTACAGAATATAATCAAGTTTTAATCTTGTTTTCCCAAGTCTAATTAACTGAATGTACTTTTGCAGCAACTATTTCAAGTATAAAATGAAAACAAGAACCCAAACATCAGTAGCTGAAATGTGTTTTTATTTTGCTTCTTCCAAAACATGAATCAATTTGCTTCAGAGGATCTTGCTTCACCCTAAGGAAAAATATGTTTTAGTTCTAGTGATACCTGACACTGATGAAAAGAAGTTGTCAATTTATAACTTCTGGGCATAACATACCTAACTGCATTAGGAAGGGATGATTGTGAGGAAGAGAAGAAAATGGAAGAATTATATACACCAAGATGCATATGGTATCTAAGGTCATGGGGATATTAAAGACCTGCCTTCTTTGATCAATCATGTTTGTTGAATCAAATCTACATAAAGTAAAGCTTAAATAAATATACAACAAAAATAAACTACACAAAAGTTGCTCACATCAAATAAATGTAGAATAGAAGCAAAAAGAAATATAAAATGAACCGCATACTTATAAACAAATTTAAACTACCTAACTATATAATAAAATCTACAACAACAAAAAAAACAGAATCAGTTGCATTTGGTAAAATGTTCTTTGCTGTTGCCAGTGTAATTTGTCAAGCAATTCATACCTCTCACCACAGGTTAATTTTGTGACTGAATTGTGTCCTTATTTTTTTTTTCAAAGTTGTGCAAATTATTCCATTTTGTGGGAAACTGGTCTCCAAAGCCAATCAATGCACTTTTGTCAACATTTGTAACTTTGGTGAACATTTTCTGGACAGAATACAGTCTGTCGTTGAAGGCTTGCATGGCCAGAATCATTGGGTTGCCATGAGTTTTCTGGGCTGTATGGCCAGGTTCCAGAAGCATTCTCTCATGATCCTTCTGGAACATGGCTGTACAACCTGGAAAACTCACAGCAACCCAGAATACAGTCTGTTTTTCCTTCTGTCCAAAATTTTCTATCTTATAAATTGTAGGCATAAGGAAGGACAAATCAATTTTACACACTGCCTCTTCCTAAATCCCAAATCCTTTATTTGTTTGTTTTTGACCAGAACAGTTCTGAGACAATATTCAAGGGTGAAAACAGGTAACTTTCTTCTGTACAGAGAAATTATTTGAATTCAATTCACAGCGTACCTTTTTGAAAAATTGTATTGGCTTTAGTGCAGTACAATATAAAACTATTAGCCCGTTTATTAATGGTAACAAGACTATTCACACAAATCTACAATTAATTGCATAAACATGGAACTTCCTTTCAACTAACTTAATTTTTTGTTCAATGTAATTATATGCCATTAATTATTTTAACTTGTTTAATTAACCCATTGCCTGCTAATAAATACACAGCAACCTATGGTTTTGACAGCTTCAGCATCTCTTACTTCAGCAGAACAAACAGAATAGCAAACTCCTCACCATTTCATGCGTGTATTTATCTTTAACATGTTCTCTGTTAACTGATCTGAGACTAGGATGCAATCAATAAAATAACTATAAAAGAATATGAAACAATTCCAATACTTCAACAACAAAAACCTGAACTCACATGAAAAATGCAGGAATTAGGCTTGTGCATGGATTTGATTTGGCCTTCGGTTAATTCAGCTGGTCCGGCTTATTCGATTGGCCGTAACAGCAAGGGCTCACCCTCCATCAGGCATGTAGCCGGGGGCGGGGGTTGAGGGGCTTCAGCTCCCCCCCCCCCTGAAATTCTCATGGTGGTCTGCGAAAAGGCCTTACTGGTGCATTATTTAAACTGTTATGTTTATTCATATCATGATCTGATCACCATACTCAATATATCCCATATGCATGGGGGTATTGGGGTAATGATACAAAAGGTTTGCTAGCGCAGACCTTCTTTCACTCAGACTCAGCCCCCCCGAAACTCACCCCCCCTGAAACTCCCCCTGAAAAAAATTCAGCCCCCCCCCCCCCCGAATCGAAATCCTGGCTACGGGCCTGCCCTCCATGGTTTTGTTTTGTTGTTGTTGTTGTTTTGGCTGCAGCAGATCAGTGACTGTCGAAAACCATTGGCCTTCAGTTACAAGTGGAGTGCAGGAAGGAGGCAGTGTGAGGAAAGTGCGAGGGGGTAAAGGCACCACTGCATCGTCTGCAAATCAAGAAAAAGGAGAGGGCTTTTTTAAGGAAGCCAGGGTGGGATAACTCCAGGATTATTGCTCTTCCTTCCCTGGGAAGTGGGGAAGGCTCCTTAAAATGCCTTGGAAAGCTGCATGCTGCAGGGAAAGAGCACTGTGCACACCTGCAGTGCCCGTCTCCTCTAGAGTAGAAACAGCTTTAACTAAGCATTAAACCCGGTCCTCTACAGACAGAAGGGAAAGAGTTGTATTTGAACGCTGATGCTTTTAATCCAGGTCTTAATGAAGGATATAAGGACAATTTTTTTAATGGTTTTTATTGTGCATTTTACATAGGTGTACACATAGACAACAGGTGTGAGAGGGGTGTGGAAGATCGGTTAAGGGGAAAGGAGTTGTATTTGAACGCTGATGCTTTTAATCCAGGTCTTAATGAAGGATATAAGGACAAATTTGAGAGGCTCCCGAAAAACAGATTAGGACCCCCACCAAAATTCGGGACACTGAAACATATCACAGTTTACCTGGATTGCACAAGCCTAGCAGGAATCAAACAGATTATGCCAACAAATCAGACAACAGAAAACCATGTAATGCACTTCCTCCAGATCTAATTTTTATTCTCCTAAAGTCCTCCTGTCTTATTGTATTTTATAAAGGTAGAGAGAGAGCTATCCTGTCCTAATGAAATCTAATGACCAAAAATAACTGATTTGAGAAGATATAGAAACAAATGCAGCATTAATCAAATAATGTATGGTGTTCAAATCTGAATTAAACAAATTAACTATCTAGCATGTGTGTGTGTATCTGAAAAAAATAAATGATTTTATTTCCCCTTTCACTGCTGCTGTGAACCTTCATATGACAAGTCCCATGAAAAAGGTTCACAAACTCTTTGTTTTCCCTTTCCAAAATGGCACACAAAGCTTCTATAAGCTTTAACAGCTTTGCGGGTTCTTTTGGTGTAAACATTACTTGTTATACAAAAAAGATAACCATGTTACCAGTCATTTTGTCACTTTTCAAACAGAATGTGATTCTGTCTTGTTATCCCAAAAGAAAATATATTACAATCAATGTAATGATACTTCCAGCTCTAGATCTATGTGCTCAGTAGGGAAATCTGAAGGCAATAAATAAAGCATAGTTCTCCACCAGGCAATTAGATTTTTTTAAAAAAAAATCAGTGTTATTGCTAGAAAATATATTTTAAAGCTAATTTCTTTTGACCACATGAATAGATATCAATGTCAGATATTATGTGTCGCACAGACAAGCAATAGTGAGATAACTGTAATAAGGTCCCACAAGCATAATGAGATTTTTTCTATTAGAAATTGTATTAAAATACAGTATGTATTAAACCATGCCAGTGACTAGGCATCCATAGAAGACTAGAACTGAAAATGCCAACCAGGGACCAAAAACACGTAAAGACAGATAAGGATAAAAGAGAATTAATCAGAGTGCTAAAGAAGTAAATTATCCTGATAGAAGTCATCGGAGAGTTCATCTAAAATCAGCAACATGTGATTTTGTTCTAATTGTGCTTCCTTGCATGCCTTTTTTATTTTTCCATGATCTTTTTAAAAATGTCTGGAAATATTTACACTCTCAAGGTGTGCTTTATCACACCTCTTTCCCTTGCTCCCTTTAAAACTGGTGATTTGTGAGTTTTAAAATGCTTCTGCTATTTTCTATAAAATGCCATCATCTTTTTATTGTTTTACAATTTCAGGCTGAAATCCCATTTAATCATCCTGTATTATTTCAATTGATTCTAACTACAGGGGTTCCACTTGACATAAATGATTGCCTTCACAGAGACATACCATACAATGAATGTTAGTAGCAGCCGTGCCAACTCTACATCTGGAAGAATGGGAAGTGGCTCATGCCTGGCTGTGTGCAGGTTTACTAGAAAAGAAGAGCCACTGAATTGAATGGGGTTTACTCCTAACTAATTAAGCACCACACTAAAATTACATTCTAACTAGACTATTACAACCAAATTTAAAATTGTGAGATAAATAAAAAATTAAACATTAACATTTAAATGATATAAACCAGAATAGCAGCCATTTCATGTTCCAGACTATTTTAGTTATGCTTAATATTTCTTATGTCCTCCTTGCTATATGCTTATGAGCATAAGAAAGTCTTCTATTGTTTTCTTGAAATTGAGCAGGGGGGGGGGCATTTTGATTTCCTCAGGGAGAGCATTCCAGAGGTGGGGGGCAACTATGGAGAAGGCCCTTTCTCTCATTCCCACCAGACATACCTGAGATGGGAATGGGACATAGAGCAGGGCCTCATCTGCTGAACGCAGTGCTCAGGTAGGCTTGCATACAGAGATGTGGTCAGCCGAAGAGTCTGGGCCCAAACCATTTAGGGCTTTAAATGTAATCACCAGCACTTTGTATTTTGCTCAGAAAGAAACTGATAGCCAGTAGAGTTGCCGTAACACGAGAGTGTTCTCTCCCTGTGCGGAACTCAAGTTAGTAATCTAACCGCTGATCTTTGGACCAGCTGAAGTTTCCAAACGGTCTTCAAAGGCAGCCCCATGTCCAGCACATTGCAGTAATCTAGTCAGGATGTAACTAAGGCGTGGACTACTGTGGACAAATCTGGAGTCTCAAGGTACAGGTGCAGCTGACACACAACCTTTAATTGTGCAAAGGCACTCCTGGTCTTCATCCAAACTTTATGCTTCATCCAAGCATTTGAGAAGACCAAGCGTGACCTCAGACTTGAAAGATGACATGCTATCTCCAGGTTTGGAAGTGAAAGATTGGGAAAAGTCCCTTGGTGACTCTGAGTGCATCCATTTTCTTCTTATCACTGCCTATTAACATGCCCTCCTCCTCTGAGCCCAATGCTTTATGGGAGAGTCCAACAGAAGTGAAAGATCCTAATCTCTTTCCTCGTTCTTGTCATGATTGTGCTGCATTATCATAGGTGCAGCTCACAAGCCAAAG